AGGTTTCCATGCTAATTCTGAGGCAAAAAAATTGAGTTTTTTTTTATTGTTATTGTTGTTACACACACTGACTCAGTAAAACAAATAATTGTTCTTAAAGTTCTCCTTCCCCTCTTTGAATTCTCCTAGCTCTACAATAAAAAAAAAAAAAAACATTCCTTTAAGGGTGTGAAACACTTTTGAGTGAATGATGATTTGAATGAGGAAAATTTCCTTTTCTGCTTGTGGTGCTTTTCTATTTCATGAGATAGCCTACAAACATAATTATCCTTATTTGTTCCACAGAAGAAAATGCTGCCTGTCCTTTTAAAAATTGGGACTAATTTACACTTTCACAAAGTTTATAGGCATTTAAGAAGAACCACACTTCAAACTGCAGGAAGAAAGAAAACATTCCAAGGCAGTAACAACAAGCAAACAACAACAAAAATAAACAAAATAAAACCCAGATGAAAAAACCCTCAAAACTTCCAGAAACTTTAAAGTCAGAGTCGTCAGGAAATGTTTCACTTTTTTTCCCCATTCTGTAGCAACAATAATTATATAAAAACTAAGTAGGATTTATTAGAAAACACAGAATAAGGAATTCTATTTAAATGTATATTTCTATAACAGCTTTCTAGTCTTCTTCTTCTTCTCCTTCTTCTGTGTGTGAGTGTCCTCTCTTTTATAGAACATACCAAAATTTTAAAGATAGGAATCATAGAAAAATGTTAGATTTAAATTGCAACATGTATGTATATTGGGGGTTTATCCAAGGGAGTTAACACAAAAGCAGAAGGAATTCTATATACAAAAATATATCTTCTGTACTAGTTTCCTCTCCTGCACTACATTAAAAAGTTTAAAAGTAATGCAACATAGTTTTCAAACAATAATAAATTATTTCTACCTATTAGCCTGAATAAATAGTTATGAAAACTTTGAGGCAGTATAACAAGTGCCACGGTACAGCAGTCAGTGAAAAACAAAGACATAAAAGCACAAAAAGAAAATTATTACAAACTGAAAAATGTTGGCAAGAAACACTTGAAAGTAAGTTGAATTTTGTGTGACGTTAAAAATGTTGGATTTATTTTTGGAACTGCTTTTCCAATTTTCAACTTTGTAAAAAGCATCTTTATTCTTTTACATTTTTTCTCTCTGCATGTTCCTATTGAAGGAGAATAGACAGAATTTTATCTTTAAAACATAATCCAGTTTCAGTTTTTTGAAGTTAGAGGGGAGCTGACCACACTAGGAAAGAAATGGACTAGGAGGAGGAAGAGGAGACAAAAAGAAGGAACATTATTCATAATGCATGCAACTGTTAAAGACATTGCTCCTTCACACACAAACTTGATTTTACTGTGAATCTTTTCCCAAAAAACAGGGGGAAAAAACAACACAGTGTTTGTCTTAATATCAAAATCAAAGCAGAACACTAGTCAAGAGGGCTGAATGGTGTCCATCTTTACACCCACCTAGGAATGTGAGTCCTAACAAGACACAAGCCTTTGGCAGGTTCATTTTAGTGCTGGGCACATTCGAGGGACAGAGCCTCAATCAACACCAAGTAGCTCCTCCAACCCCAACCTAAAACTCTTGTGGGGGCTAAAGACTGCATCTCACACCCCAGCTGCCTCTACTCTTGGCTCTTTAAAAACTTTTGTAGCTTGACTGTAAACACAGAAGCCCTGTCTTGTGGGGGAAGGGGTAGGCAGGAGAGAGGATTAGAATATAGTGTGAAGCAGCTAACTTTGAAAAAGAACCAGTGTGAATAGAAATAGTTGGTACTTTGTTAATGAAATAAATTTTTAAAAGATTTTAAAAATAGACTGTGGAAGTAGGCTATTTTGAATTTCTGTATTTTTTCATTCTACTGTCATTAAAAAAAACAAAAAAAACCTGATTACTTTCAGCCAACATTTAAATTATTTCTTAAATGGAAAAAGAGTCAACCTAAAAATGAATTGAATTAAATTACTATTTTTAATAGTTTTGTTTCTCTTGAACTCTAGGATAGTAAAAGATGGGCTACATTTTGTAGGAGATTAGGAGTCTGGGTAGAGTTTTTTTTGAGGGTTAAGTTGCTTTTGTTTTAGGAAGAAAGCCAGAAGTGGTTAGATTACCCAGGGAGATTATCTGAGAAGTGTTTTTTATCAACTTCTTAAACTTTAAAGTAAGTGAAGCAAACAGCACGTAAAGTTTTTGGGAACTGGGATGTCCTCCCTAGGTACCTTCTTCCTTGTCCCCCAATATAACACAAGATTTGGGGACAGTTACTATTTATGAAGACCCAAGACTACTACAGCTTCTGAGACCTTTTCAAAAATCCACACGCATCACTAAGAAAAGTCCCTAGGCAACAGATCCACACATTCTAGCCAAGACTTTTAATTTTCATTAATCTGCAGGTTCTTTTTTTTTTTGCCATTCAAAAATGTTTGCTGTAACTGCCTAATATGGGCAGGCACTGTTTCCAGCTCATTGCTTAGTTTGTTAAAAATTACGTTGTGATCATTGCTGACAAATACGAAGTTACTGGGGGCTGGGGGATGTCGGGGAGGCCGTGTGGTGACAGAGACTCAGCTGTCTCCCACCTTCGTGGACAGAAAACATTTTTTTTCCTACTAAGCGACTAATAGCTCGTAATATTAAATTCCTGTTGCTTCACGGGAAGAAAAATGTCACAAAAACAAAAAAATCCGACAAACACGTGGCTGGCTAGAACAAAACGCTGATTTCAGAGAGTGGATTGTGAGGTGGTGGAGGAGACTCAGAAACCGAGTTGGAAGCCCTCCCCCCGCCCCATTTCTTCCCAGCGCGCCGGGAAAACGAGGAGGGGGACAAAGGTGCTGGGTGTTGTGTTTTAACTCCCGACTTTTCAAACGGTAGGAAATCATCCGGCAGAAGGGCGGTGAGCCGAAGTCGGAGTTGGCTTACGGACTCTGCAAACGAAAAAATAACAATAAAAAAAATTTCAAGCCATTCATATCGGTGCAGTCAACACGTGTTACGGAGCCGGCCCGGGCCGCAGGCGACTGAGACAATGGGGTCGGGACGGGAGAAGGGGAGGGTAACCCTCTTCTTCACCTGCCCTTGCAGCACGCGTGCCCTAGACAACCCTCCTCCCTCCCGCGGACTCGCGCGGCGCACGGAACATCCCTTTTTCGGGGGGGAGGGTCGGCGGCCCCCTTCTTCATGGTGGTCGGGCAGGGGGTCCCCAGGCTGCGCTCTCCGACACCCCCTGGCGCAGCCCCCAGCCTTTGCCGCTGGAAACCCGGTGTCCCCGCGTCGAGCCGGGGATCCCGGTTTTTGCGCGTGCAATGCATCCCGCGCTCCGCTGCGCGTCCCGGACTCCGGCGCGCGGACCCCTCCCCCACCGCGCAGACGGGGTGCGACCGCCCACGTGTCGCCCCCTGCCCAGTCCGGTCTTTCCCGCAGGCTCCCCGCGCCGGAGGATCCGGAACGCGTCGGTCCCGGCCGAGGGAAGGGACCTGGGCGGATCCACTTCCCCCTCCCCACGGGGGGAGGGCCGCAGCCCCCTCCCCCGCCTCTCGCTTCCTCGAGCGCGAAGCGGAAATTGCCCCCTCCCCGCTCGGGCTGACCTGGGGACGTGGGCGTGGCCTTGCCCCCCCACTCCACGGCGGCCTCCCAAAATCTAGCACCCCAAACTAAGTTCTGAGACCCAAACCCAGCGCGTGGACAGCCGCTCTAGTCATCTCGGGTGGAGCGGACGCGGGCGACGCCACCTGTCCGCTCCTCCTAGCGCGGGGAGGGCGAGGGGGCCCTCGGGTCTCCACCCCGTCACTCTCTTCTGAAACCAACCCCCTTCGCTTCGCTGGCTCTCGGTGAAGCGACCACCCCTCATCGTTGTTTCCCACCCTGCTCGTCCTTCGGGGGTGATCTCGAGCCGGGTCGCCGGCTTCCCCCCAAGAACGCTGGAGTGTTGTCATCCAGAAGCTGGACTGGGTGCGAGCCAGCTTTCCTCCAGTGGGGATCCCGCGACACGATTTGCTCCGGGTCCCTGGTTCCCAGGAGCTGTCCCCCGTGTTCTCAGCTTCCTGGTCGCGCGCAATCAGGGTCCCCGGGATCTGGACCCGGGAGGCCAGGGAAGTCTCGTGGGGGTGTGGAAGGGAAGACAGTGACCCCCGACTTAGAAATGTACGGGGGAGCCGTCTTTCTTCTTAAATGACCCGTTCTTGCGACCCCCTCCTGAAGACCCCGGAGTCCTCGGCTTCTCTTTGTCTGTCTCGGCCGTCCCCCGCCTGTCAGTCGCTAGCAGTTTACCAGGGTGGGGTGGGCAACCCAGTCTCCACAAAACGAATAAAAAAATGACCGCACATTTCACCCCTAAGGATTGGAGAGATTTGGGTCGCCACCGCCCTCCCCCCAGCGCAGGTCACAGTGGCAAGATGGGTGGGGGCGGGGCGCCGCCTCAGGGGCCAGGTTCTTGCAAAGGGGGAGGGGGCGAGGAGAGCCTCGGGGACTCTGTCTCCACCTTCCTGGTTAATCCCTGGGGTGCGCTGAGTGCCCCCAAGACCGGAGACCGTTGGGTTGGTCCAGGTTGGACGGCCTAGGGGCCCGGTGGCGTCGGGGGTCTTTCCTTGCAGGGTGGGTGGGGGCTGTCACCACGTGGCTTCGCCTTTTTTTTTTCCGCTCCATTTTTTTTTTTTCAAGTCGATTTTATTTAGAGGCGGCGCCAGGGCGGCCGCGGAGAAACGTGACACACCAGCCCGCTCGCTGGGGTTTCGGACCGAAGGGAAGGAGCCGCGCCGCGTCGTTCGCCTCCCTGCGCTCCGCGGGCACTTCTCCCGGGCTAACCCGAACTCTCCCGTGACCTCCGCGTGCCCTCAGGCCGCCCACCCGCCCGGAGCTCCGGACAACTCCAGGGGTGGGGCGCGTAGAAAGTTTGCAGCTCCCGCCGCCCGCCTCCACGTCTCGGCCTAGAAGGCTCTCCGCCCGCACCCGCCCGTTCGGCCTTGCCCGGGACCGCGTCCTGCCCCGCCACCGCCACCATGAACAAGCTTTACATCGGCAACCTCAACGAGAGCGTGACCCCCGCAGACTTGGAGAAAGTATTTGCGGAGCACAAGATCTCCTACAGCGGCCAGTTCTTGGTCAAATCCGGCTACGCCTTCGTGGACTGCCCCGACGAGCACTGGGCGATGAAGGCCATCGAAACTTTCTCGGGTAAGAGCGCGGCCACCTCCCCGGGAAAAAAAAAAAAAACACAACGAAATCCCAGAACAACGGAGATCTGCAGCTCCTCTTTTCTTGCCCGCCAACTCTTCCCGGGCCCGCGGGGCTCGGCCTCCGTACCCTGCCTCGACCTACCTCCCTCGACGCCCCCTCCCCAGGCAGAAATACTCGGTATTTCCTTCTCCCTTCCCCCAGCCCGGGACGCTCGTGGCTCCTCGCCCCCCTCCCCACCGACGGGGCGGGAGCCCCCGTTGGCAACTGGTGGGGGTGGGGGTGTCTCCCGGGCACTGGGGTCCGGGTCTAGGCGTGGTTTCCCCGGTGCCCCCCACTCCTCGCTGGAAGGCCCCCCTGCTGGAACACCCCCTCGCCCCGGCTCTCCCTCCAGGCCTTTCCAGGAGGGGTGTTCCTGCACCTCGGGTCTTCCCGCTCTCCTGGTGGGGACGAGCCCTGAGACAGGACGTGGGAGGAAGGGGCTCCCGCCTCCCGCCCAAGGCCTGGGGCTTGAGCCATTTTGATTTGAAAGTGGGGCGTGAGCCGGGTGGCGCGGCGGCGCCGGGTCGCCATGCTGCTTCCCGAGACGCCAAGGCTGGGCCGAGAGGCGCGCGGCTGCCGCGAGGGACCCTCCCCACCCGGCCGCGCCGCGCCCCCCGGGGCCCTCCGTTTGCCCTGCGGCCCCGACAGGTGACGCCTTGTTGCCTAAGCTCTTCTCGGAGGCTGGGCAGGAAAATAAAGTTTAATACTCTGCTCCTACCCCACTTCGAGAGCCGGGGTGATCCTTTCCCCTGGCTCCTTCCTACTTCTGGGAGTCGCACAAGCAGCGCGCTCACACAAACGCTCTCACATCTTTACTAAATCTGGCTCTCTGAGCAGTCTGTTCAACTAGCCCACGTGATTCGTGGAAATAAAATAAAATTTGCAAAAACGAATTTACGGGTTCGGTCATGCCCGGAGCAACCTTTCCCCATACAGGCTTCGGCAGCTAGTGCTTGGATTCCTAGGAGGGCCCTCGAACTCTTGAATTTAACTAATGTCCCTTACCCACCCTTTCTCCCCACCCCCCCACTCCTGTTCCCCCATTCATTCATTCATTTTTTTTTTTCAATCTTCAGGGAAAGTAGAACTACAAGGAAAACGTCTAGAGATTGAACACTCTGTTCCCAAAAAACAAAGGTAGGAAAAGAATTCATTTGGGGGAACTGAGAGAAATATTAAGGGGGTCCAATCTATAGTGTCTCCAGTGCAACAAACCCCAGGCCTTCCCACCTCCCAACTCCGGATGTTGGGGCTGGGAGAGATTGGCCAAGGTCTTGTAATGGGTATTTTTCAGCTTAAAAACAAAACAAAACAAAAAACCAACAACTTGGAACTGGGGTGGGCCAAAAGATGTTACTTGAAGAAATGAAAGAGAAAAAAAATCAATAGGTGGAAACCCTGTGGAGTTAGTTCAAAGTGTGGGACCATTTTTGTAGGGAGGCTTAGATATACAGAGTTCAAACTCATGGCGGGGGTGATGTCTTTAACTTCTGCCAGGCCTTTTTTTCCTGTTTCTCTCATCCACATCATAATTTGAAAGTGGATTTAGGGGAATCCTTTTCCTATTGGGTGAAATAATAAGGAACCTACCCCCATTAGAATCTCCTCATGCTGTATTAATTTCTGTTCTGGTTCTGGTTTTTGTTACTCCCTTACAGACCCTCATCCCCAGCCCCTCACATCCTACATTGCCCCTTCAACTGGATTTTCAGATATGCTGTGGCTGTACTATCCCTTTCCAGCCCCCCCACCCCCACTCCTTCAGCCCATTGTTACGAGGGACCATCTGGGGTGAGAGCTTTGTGCTCAGGCTGTGAGCTGGGGCTCTTTGGAGGGTCTAGAACTCCGGGGATGAATGGGTGTGTGTGTGTGTTCTCATCTGAATTCTTTTTTTCCTGTATTCCGTCTTTACCAGCAAAATGGGGTGTCTCCATCTTGCTCCCCTAAAATTCAGGGTACATTTTCTAGTCTGCCTTTAATTCTGAAGTCTTTGGTTGAACTCCGTTAAGAGTAAGGGCAGTGTTTCTCACATCAGACTTTTTGAACATGTTGACAGTGCAGTTTTCTTTCCTGTCTTTAGTTGGAAGCAGCCCTCAGTACATTTTTGATCCCCTAAACCCCTCTTTCAACTGGAAGAAACTTCATGAATTTCTGAACAGTTTTTGGCCCTTCCTGAGGTGGAAAGTATGTGTGGGTGCTATGCTTTTGTGAGTGTGTGTGTGGGGTATTTTTAAAGAATCTACAGTTTAGCTGGAGATAAACTGTTCTGTGATTTGCCTTCGGATTTTTAAATAACTGAATGATTGCATTTATAGATGATCAATATGACTTGTGTCTGTTTATAGAGTATGTAATTTGTTGTCAAATGCTCGAGAAACTGGAAAGGTGATTGGAATTAGGAGCAAAAGAGGCACTAAATGGGAAGGAAGGAAAAGTCCTATTGTGAAAAATTTTGGGGCGAGAATAACATAATTGAGGTGTATTCTTTGAATATTATATTAAATTCAAAACTGTGTTCATGGTAAATCTAATAACTGGAATTCTGAAATATGTGATCTTTAACCCCTTCTGCTCTTGAGAATGGTTTAAAATTTAAAGCCGGAAGAAGGGAAAAGTAAGAAACAGCAAAATGTGGTGCAAAATTCTGCAAAATAACCGAATTTTAATGTTCATGGTGCCCTGTATTTGTGAATCTTTCTCCTCAAGCCAGCTGCTTGCTTTTATGGTATTTTTATCCAGGCTTCTTGTCCCCTACAGAATGCATCACTAGGAGCCACTTTGAGTTGGGATGGAAAGGATGTCTGGGAGAAGATGGCTCTTAAAAAAGTTTTCATGTCTACATTAAATTCTACTTTCTGTGTGTTCTCTCCTTTACTGAAATAGTTTTTGAACCAGAAATTGAATGAGTTGTCTTTTCTCCCGTTCCTGGGTAGTTGTGTGAGAAGAGACTATTTCTCCCATGAACCAATTTTTGAAGTCTTGGGGTTTAAAAAAACAAGTTTGTTTTCATTAACTCAGTTTGCTATTTTGTGTTCCTTGAGGAATCCTGTTGTGGTGTTTTAGTTTGTGTCTCAACTCCTTCAGTTGAGTTTGTGACTGGCATTTTCATTCTCTTGAAACACAGAGGAGTTTAGTCAGGACTAAAATTCTATGTAAAATGAACACCTGTAGAGGTGTATTTTTTTCTAAATGTATTGTGTTTTCAGTGTTTAAAATTGAACTCTTGATAAACTCAGTTGCAAATGAATTTTGATTTGAAAGTATTAAAGTATTTTGTTGTCCTTTTGAATATATTTGATAAGTGATTTATACGTTTTAAGTACTCAGTCCTAGCATCATATTTAAGATGAAAACAACAAATTTGAATTTTAAATATGAGAGGCATTAAATTTCACTTACCTTCCCCATCTCTCTTAGTGCTGGGAATTTGGTTGGCAATTTTGGCCTTTGAGAATTTATATCTATTCACTGGCAAATATTGGTATAAAGGAGAAAGATCCAAAGCATTTCTAAAAACAGTGGTGCAACATTTGTGTTTAGATGTGTTTTGTTCTAGGAGAAATTGAGGCAAGGAAGGAGGGAAATGATTTGCTTTGCTTTCCCAGAAAATGAAACTTCATGCACCTTCCCTTGAGGTCTATTCTAGGAGAGTGTGTCCTCACCCTTGCATATTTACAGTCAACTGGTGTCATCAAACTGTTTGCTGTTAACATATGAAATATGTGATTCCAAGTTTGATATCTTTAGGCAGGTTGATAGTTCTTTCCTTTAAATTGATTTAAAATGAAGCGGTTTAATGCTTTCTCCTAAATTTCTTTTTTTTTTTTTTTTTTTGAGACAGGGTTTCTGTGTAGCTTTGGAGGCTGTCCTGGAACTCACTCTGTAGACCAGCCTGGCCTCGAACTCACAGAGATCCGCCTGCCTCTGCCTCCCGAGTGCTGGGATTAAAGGCGTGCGCCACCAACGCCCGGCTCTCCTAAATTTCTAATGATTAAAATGAAAACTAAGTCTCTTTTCCCGGGGTGAAGAACTCTAAAAGAGAGTGTTTTCGATTTGATTCCTACTTTATAAGTTTAATTTTCTGGACTCAGCACCTTAAAATCTGTGAAGGGTTGTTTTATACAGGACAAGAAATGTTTTCAACTTATTCAAAATGTACTGTAGAAATCTTGAATAATTGAGTTGCTAAATCTTTTTAAAAACAAGTTAGAGCCACCTTCAGAAATAAGTGTGAATTTAATTGGAAAGCAAACAGCATACAGTTTGGAGTTGGGGCTGAAACATGTGAGGAAGCAGCAGCCTGGAGCCGGGCATTGGTGGCGCACACCTTTAATCCCAGTACTTGGGAGGCAGAGGCAGGCGGATTTCCCTGAGTTCCAGGTCAGCCTGGTCTACAGAGTGAGCTCCTGGAGAGTCTACAGAGAAACCCTGTCTTGAAAACAAACAAACAAAGCAGCCTGGGCTTTTAAATCATTCCTGTGTAATCCAGGGTTGTGCGGGAGGCAGAGGCAGGCAGATCTGAGTTCAAGATTAGTCTCCAGGAAGCCAGGGCTACAAAGAGAAACCGGCTTGGGAAAACAAGACAGAACAGCAAAAAAAATTTGTAACAAACAACTTATAACTTTTAGTAAAAAGGATGTTAGGCTGCTGTGTTTTTAAGTGAAAAATGTTTGTGTTTGTTTTCTTTAGGATTTGTAGGAAACAGATTCATTCCCTCCACTCTAGCTTCCATTTAGAAGTGGATTTTACAAATTCACAAATTTCCATTATGACTAGGTTTTCCTTTATGACTAGTAGAAACCATAGTTTTTTAATCTGGTGGCCCTTGAAAGCATTGTCAATTTCTTAACCCTGACACAAATTAGACAAAATTTTAGCCTGGCGTTGGTGGCCCACGCCTTTAAGCCCAGCACTTGGGAGGCAGAGGCAGGCAGATCTCTGCGAGTTCCAGGCCAGCCTGGTCTACAAGAGCTAGTTCAAAGCCACAGAGATGGCGAATGCTTTATTAAAGAAGCCAGGCGTTGGTGACACACGCCTTTAATCCCAGCACTCGGGAGGCAGAGGCAGGCGGATCTCTGTGAGTTTGAGGCCAGGCTGGACCGACAGCCTCCAAAACAATACAGAGAAACCCTGTCTCATAAAAACAAAGCAAAACAAAACAAAAAACTCTACACTTGGAGCTAGAGATATGTCCAGAGGTCTAGGGTTCCATTCCCAGCATATATGTGACTGCTAGTAACTGTAGGTAACTCCAGGATCTGATACCCTCACAGAGATAAATGCAAGCAAAACACCAATGCACGTTAAAAAAATGAATTTTTAGCCAGGCGTTGGTGACACACGCCTTTAATCCCAGCACTCTGGAGGCAGAGGCAGGCGGATCTCTATGAGTTCGAGGCCGGGCTGGACCGACAGCCTCCAAAACAATACGGTGAAACCCTGTCTCGTAAAACCAAAAAAAAAAAAAATGAATTTAAAAAAAAATATTAAAAAGGGGGGGTGACTGGAGAGATGGCTCAGCAGTTAGGAGCAGTGACTGCTCCTCCAGAGGTCCTGGTTCAATTCCCAGCAACCACATGGTGGCTCACATTCATTTGTAATGGAGATCTGGTGTTTTCTTCTGGAGTGCAAGCATATATGCAGGCAAAATACTATATACATCATAAATAAGTCTTAAAAACAAACGTGAGAACCTTACATTTGATCTGGGCATTGGTGCATACTTTTTTTGTTTTTGTTTTTGTTTTTCGAGACAGGGTTTCTCTGCAGCTTTGGAGGCTGTCCTGGAACTAGCTCTTGTAGACCAGGCTGGTCTAGAACTCAGAGATCCTCCTGCTTCTGCCTCCCGAGTCCTGGGATTAAAGGCGTGTGCCACCAACGCCCGCTTGGTGCATACTTTTAATCCCAGTACTCCCAGCAGAGGCCTGTGAGTTTAGGGTCAGCTTGGTCTATAGACAGCCAGCAGCCAGGGCTGTTAAACAGAAACCCTATCTTCAAAAACCAAACAAATAAATCCAAAACAAAAGCCCAAACCTTACATTTGAACTAGTAGTGTCACACATTATTAGTCCCAGCACTCAATAAGCAGAGGCGGCAGATCTCTCTGAGTTTGAGGCCAGCCTGGTCTACAGAGTGTG